CTCCAGTATTCGTGTCTGGAAAATTCCATGGACAGACAGGAGCCATGCAACCATGGGGTCGCAAAGAGTTGGACACAGCTGAGCAACTAACACTTCCACATTTTCAGTCGGGAAGCCCAGGAAAGAAGCTGGGGAGCCAGGTTTCCTGGGGCAGGTGATGCTTCCTCTAGGATTTGGAGCACGGCATCACCAGCGTTTCTTTCTTTTATTCAGCGTTGGGCCCTTGCACAGTGACCTGGAGTACACCGTGTCCTCGCAGAAGGAGGGCTATGTTTTGACTGCAGTGGAAGGAACCATAGGCGACTTTAAGGCTTATGCCTTGGCAGGCGTGAGCTTTGAGGTAACACCGTGTGCTTTTAAAAAGCAGTTTTATGGAGTATAACAACCATACAATAAACTGCACAGAAAGTGCATAATCTGAGTTTGGACACATGACAGCAGCTGTGAAAATACCACCACAGTCAAAACAGTGGGCACATCTGTCACCCCTCAAAATTTCCCCGCACCCTCAGTAGCCCCTCTCTCCTGGCCCTCCCCACCTTTCTGACCTGCCTTCTGTCACTGTAGATCAGTTTGCAGTTCTTAGAATTTTATATAATGGAATTATTCAGGCCGTACTCTTTTTACTCTGCCTTCTTTCACTTGTAATTTCGGAGATCTGTTGACTTCAGCTTGTGTGCATACCTTCTGGGAAGCATCTTAAGCTTTCATCCTTGACTCTGTTCTCTGTCAAAGGACACAGAATGTTCCTAGAGTGGAGTTGATGTCTTTCTCTCTTCCCTCCCTCCTTCTTGGGAAGAAGCATGCTATGTGATGGCCAGAGTCTGGAGACCCTTGAGGATGAATGTTGTCAACATCAAGGCCAAAAGAGGAGAAACATCCCATCACTTTAATAAATTAAAATTCTGCATTGCAGAATGCCTTTTAAAACAAATGGAAAGATAGTCCAACTGAAGAGAAATATCTGTTCCATAAATAACAACCCCAGTTTACAAGGTCTCCTAAAACCAATAAGAAAAAGACAAGCCAACAGAGAAAAGGCAAATCAAGGACATGAAAGGCCATTCACAGAAGTCATCCAGGTCACTCATAAACACACAGGAAACACTTGACTTTGATAGTGACTGTGCAAACGCAAAGGAAGTTACCATCAAAACACTGGGTTTGAGGTTATAGTTGTAATAATGAAGACAACATCCATTTTTTGGGCAAGCTTGTGTTTTCCCATGCATAGGTAATTTAGGAGCTGGAAATGTTTACAGCCACCCTGGAGTTCAGTTCAGGGGTTTCTTTCTGGATGTCAAGTGCACACATCCACGAAGTCATTTCTACTCCTAGGAATTGACTGTTTGGAAAAGGAAAAACTTAATTGTGCAAAGATGCACACACTTGGGGACTTTCGCTTCGTCCCTTCTTTTCCATCACAAAGCTCAGAGACTGGCCCGTGTGCCGTGGTTTGCCAACCTCTGATTTAGAATGAGACGCAGCTCTTCCGAAACAGTGAGGCCGATTGGTGGGAACTGGTGGACGAAGGCAGCGGGGAGAACAGCTGAGGTGAGAACAGCTGAGGCCAGAGAAAGCGACTTGCAGTTATAGGACCGAATGGTTCGGGGTCCCTCCTCCACCCCACCCCCAGCTAGTCACTTACGAAACCCATCAGCAGTAGATTTGTGTGGGCACAGAGAGTTCTGGAAGGCTGCACAGCAGACTGTTTATGCTGGTTACCCTGGGGGAGGAGAGGAGACCTTCTGACCTCCTCCGCGGGCCCCAGAGAATGACAATAAAAGAAAAACTAGCCGCTGAGAGTGACTTCTTGACACCTTCGCGGGTTGTGTGAGTTAACCCTGCCCTGGGGTTCCTTTCTCACCCCCAGATAAAAGCTGAAGACGACCAGCCCCTCCCTGGGGTCCTCTTATCCCTCAGCGGCGGTGTGTTCCGTTCCAACCTCCTGACTCAGGACAACGGTGTCCTGACCTTCTCAAACCTGGTAAGGCGCCCACTACTGCACCGCCTGCCCGGGTGCCCCGTGCACGCACGAGGATGCGGCGGCCGTGACTTGTGTATTACTTGACAATGTGAGAACAGAAAACCATTGTGGACTGCCTCACGTTTCTTCGGGGACCAGCTGTAATTAAGGATGGATCTCACTAGAACCTAATGCTGCTGATGCATGTTCCCTTCCGCACAGATGTCTTGTTTTCTGGTCACCCACTTGTCACTGAGACAATGTAATTAATTACCCTGGCCCCAGCGGCTCCTGTCTTAGGTGTCCCTTTGTTTTACCACAGGATCTCGTTGTTTATAATGCCAATTCTTGTTCAGGGGGTGAGCTTGTGTTTCTTCTGCAAAGCACACTCCGTGTGGTGGGTGGACAGCACCCATTTTCCACTGAGGATGTAGTCTGAGGCCCTGAATGGTGGACGCGTCATTTGGTCATCTTGTCAACCCTGGGAATAAAGTGACCATTCCCGGGATGTGACCATCAGGCAGTGAGGTGCAGCCAAAAGATCCCAGATTGGGACATGAAGCACGCCCACCTTCGAATCTTTCCTCTGCTGCTTACTTGCTGTGTTGTCTCAGGCTAGCTACTTGACCTCGCTGAGCTTTAGTTGCTTCATTCATAAAATTCAAGTATGATTTCTACCTTGCAGAGGTACTATAGGCGCGCAGTAATAACAGCTGCTGTTAGAATGGTAATTGGTGTCACTGTAATGATTTATTGTAGAGTTAGTTGCCATCTCCGTGTGTCTGGGAAGCCCTGGGGCTCTTGGGGCCTCATTCAGCCTCATTCCTGCCTGACTTGAGCTGCTCCCTCTAATGCCGCCCCTCGACTTGCAGCAGGGGCTCACCTCGTGTTTGTGTCTTGGCAGAGCCCTGGCCAGTACTACTTCAAGCCCATGATGAAGGAATTCCGGTTTGAGCCGTCCTCGCAGATGATAGAGGTGCAGGAGGGGCAGAACCTGAAGATCACCATCACAGGCTACCGCACGGCCTACAGGTGGGCTGCCCCTCTCCCGTCCGCCCCGGGCTGGGCCGTGGGATCGCTCACACTCATTTCTCTTGGAACCCATCCCAGTCTTCAGGTTGATTCTGTTTGGAAGACAAGAGCCATGAGACACGAGTCCACAGGTTCCCGACTGCCACCCTTTTCTCCTAATATCGCCCATAAATGATTTAGTCACAAAGCTCCTCTTCTGAAATTGGCCCGTGAGAACCTACTGAGTTCCTAAAAGTTTTTATTTTTTTTAAAACATTTGAAACCTGAATTAGATTTTGGAAAGGAGGAAATGCAGTCACTTGAGCAAAACTTGGAAATGTTGAAAAGGAGATATTCAGTGTAGAGTTTCCCTTCTGTCCTGGCCTCCCAGCCACCTAGGTGTTCCAGCGTTTCTGAGTACATCCAGAGATGGTTTATTCACATAAGTATTTATAATTATAGACACACACATATGTATAGAAGCACTTCAAGGTTGATTAATCAGAAGGAACAGGTTTAGAAAAATGGACCATTTTCAATTGAATATAAAAATAGAATGAAAGGGGAAGTGATTTATTTTCATTTTATTGGATGCTTCATTATTTAAAGTTTAACAAAAAATACAATAAAGCGGAATGAAAGAAAGTTTAGCCTTTTTAAATTATGATTTTCTGGAGCATCACTTAGACTGTGTGAGAAGAGGAATTGATGATAGGAATGGCCTGAGCCCTCTGGCAGGAAGGCTCAGCTTGCAGGTGACACAGCCAGAAGTGAGTCGTCTGGGTCATTTGGGGTACAGTCCTCCACTGAGCTATTTTGCATCGTAAATTGTTGGTAAATGCCGGACACTGTCCCTGGAATCTTGTGTGTGCATCAGAAAGCCCTGAGAATGCCATGTTCTGTTTCTTCTCTCGTCTCTAGTTGCTATGGTACAGTTTCTTCCTTAAACGGAGAACCAGAACAGGGTGTTGCCGTGGAAGCAGTGGGCCAGAGCGACTGCAGTATTTATGGAGAAGACACCGTGACGGACGAGGAAGGGAAGTTCAGGTTACGTGGATTGCTGGTGAGCCTTTGGATGTGTTTCGTTAGTGGAGTTTTTCATACTGCGTTCAGCAGTGTCTGGGTTCAGTGGTGCCCCCGAGACGGCTAGGAATGAGGGCAAGAGGGTTGAGAGGGGTCATAGGGCTTTGAAACTTCCCAATCCCTATCTTAACTGACATACTCAACGCTTATGTAGCTGACATACTGGGTTGCGGTTTTATGGCAAAATACAGGTAGAAAACCATGGGTTTGGTGCATCTTTTGCCTAGAACAGGTTGTCTAGCTTAGGTCAGCCTCTCAAATCAGGTACCTGTGGGGCTCGAAGACAAGTGTGAAAGGTTGGAGTGGACTGGGTGCCCGTCGGGAGCAGTGTGGACTGTGGACCGTGGACAGGTCGTGGCCCACGAGAAGGGGCGACTGCCACGCAGCTCTAGCTCTTCGTAGCCACGTGGGAAGACAACTCAGGGTTGCCAGATGATGAGAGTTTGTAAAAGAGAAGTCAGAAATTCACATTTCCATGTGACAACTCCTGATTTTTAGGTATTAACCACTAATTTAAAAAAAATAGGGGCTTCCCTGATAGCTCAGATAGTAAAGAATCTGTCCACAATGCCGGAGCCTGGGGTTTGATCCCTGGGTCAGGAAGATCCCCTGGAGAAGGGAATGGCTACTGACTCCAGTATTCGTGTCTGGAAAATTCCATGGACAGACAGGAGCCATGCAACCATGGGGTCGCAAAGAGTTGGACACAGCTGAGCAACTAACACTTTACTTGGGCCATGCTGTCCTTTCCCAAAGTTAAGAAGACCATGTCCCATGTTCAGGCATCCCCACTCACTGATACTGGGAAGTCAGAGCAGGAGGATGCTGGGTGAGCGAGGAGCATTCAAGCCAAAGGAGGAAGGCAGGCTTGGGGGTGTCTCCTGGGGCCATGCTGAGGACTGGAGAATGTCTGTTCTCATGGGCCAGCTGAATGGGCTTGCTTTGGGGTCCGGTCAGCCTTACTGCGATGCTCCCTTCTCCACCTCCTCTGTCCTCAGTGAGGCCCTGCCGGCTCCATTAGCACTGATGTTAATTCATTAGCATTTGCAGTGTGTGTGGAGTCGTCCCCTTGTGGCCGCCGACCCCTTCCATGGAAAAGGCCTCGGACGCTGGAAGAATAGCCTTGGACGCAGAGCGTGCTGTCATGCTGCTATCGGGACATGTTCCCAGGGCCCCAGGGCGCTCTCTCCTGTCCCCCAGGCCTGCTTCCCTTCCGTGGCAGTGGTTCCAGAGAGAGCAGGGTGGAGTGGCCACGTGGATATCCCCCACCCCCAGGCCGGCTGCAGCCAGGACCCGGGAGAGGCGACGGGTCCTTAGATCCAGGCCTCTGTCGCATGTGTCCTTGCAGATGCAGACTTTGACCCTGCGTCCTTCGTGGCCTTTCTGCCTGGGTTTGAACCCTGCCTCTCATTTCTTAGCTGTGTGAGTTCAGGCAGGTGTCCCACGCTTTCTGTGTCCATTTCATCACCTGTAAAGTGCCAGTGAGGATCACGGCTGCCTTACAGGTTGGCTGTCAGTATGAAGTGAGTTAATTAATACACATGGAGTGGTGCCTGGCGCACTGACTCCACAGGTGGTTAGAAGCAAGGACGGACCACTCCTTTCCCGAGGTGGGGTCCTCACCTGAACTGCCGGCCTGGGTGATTGTGGGCAGCTTTCCTCGGTCCGAGTCACAGCAGAAGGTAGGCATGGGGGCGTGTGTGCCCCTCGGTCTGCCTTCCTTTTGGGTGGACCCAGTGTTCCTGGCTTGTCTCCCTCTTACAGTTGCAAGAATTCAGATTCTGCATCACCATGGTGATTCCCCCTTGGAGTCTTACTGGCCCGTACGTATTTTTCTTTTTTAAAATTGGGGTATAGGTGCATTACAATGTTGTGTTAGTTTCTGCTCTGCAACAGCGTGAATCAGCTCTATGTATACATATACCCCCTCCTCCCTCTTGAGCCTAACCCCCATCCCACCCCTCTAGGTCATCTCAGAGCCCTGAACTAGTCCCTGCGCTATACAGCCGTTTCCCATTAGCGATCCTCTTACACATGGAGTGTATATGTGCCAGACATGTGTTTCTAAACTCACCAACTTAACACATTTTATTTAACTAAACCAAATATAGTTTCCTTCTCCACCTTGATAGATTCATGTTTTAATTAATGCTCCCTCACACCCTCCTCCTCGTAATAGGTGTTAATTCATTAGTGCTTTCAATGCTGCGTGGAGTCGCCCCCTTGTGGCAGCCACACGTGCCGGGCCTTCCACGTGCCGGGCCTTAGATGCTGGAGGAATGACTGGCCTTAAGACGGTTCTCATCAAAGGTTTGGGATTGCGTTTGTCAGGCTCCTAGGGGACACCAGGCTAGAGAGCCCTGGTTGAAGATTTCCTCAGGATTTTGCCCTCTAGGAGAATGCATTTCTGCAGTTGATCTTTCTGGGCAGTGTATTTGGTGAGGCATTTGGGTGAGAAGCTGCCTGAATCTTGCTGCCAGAGGCTGAAGGTGAAACGCTGAGTCAGCGGCCAGGAGCGAGGAGCTGGGTGGTTGGGGTGGGCTCCTGCCCTGCTGGGAGTGAGGGGGCAGTGCCCGCGGTCCCGTCTCCAGCACGGCTGTCTCTCCTTTTTTTCACACCTTGCTACCGTTTTCCGAGGTGCAAATAGCTGTTGCTAATAGCTGTTTTGAACAAGCTCAGTGCAGCCAGTCCTCACTGAGCTATAAAGTGAATTAATTTGCCTATTGGTGATCATAAATTTGAATTTTCTCGATTTTTAAAAAAATAATAGCTTTACTGTCTGTGTAAAGGTTCTGTGTGCTCATTATAAAATAGTTCAAAGCAATACACTGAAAAGGACAAAATTTTGAAAAGGGAAAAAGGAGATCACCCTTACACTCCCCCTGGAAGGACTCATGGTTAATATAGAGGGAATGTTGTTTAAGTTTCTGCTCTGCTCACACACAGAGAAGGTCACAGTGCATGTGATTTTAGGAAACCGTGACATGTAGTCCTCGCTAATGTGCAAATCAGCAGTTACAGTCTCAGGGTTGTCCCCTCTTGGATACACACAGTCACCTTTGAACTCGGCCCCTGGCTCTAGATGTTCATTCATGGGTCATCAGATTTGGTGTGCAGTTGGTGATCAGAAGTTGGTTATTTTAGAAGTTCTTTAAACCCTGCTAGTGTCAGTGATCTTCATCTTTTGGGGAAAGATGAAGATCTTTTGTTTTAATAAATGTGTAAGAAAAAAAAGTTCAGAAGTTGACAAATGGTGGTTTCATTTAGACTATTAAAGCCTTTCGTAAAGCTGCATTTTATCTGATATGCAACCTTCTGAGAAATTTTCCTTTGAACTCATATATCTTTCTCTATCAGAGTTGTCACTAGCCCACCCTGCAGTATATAAAACAAACAAAAAACTTTATTTCTTCAAGGCAGTTTGTTGTTGTTGCTGGTTGTTTAGTCATTGAACTATATCCTATTCTTTTGTGACCCCATGGACTGTAGCCGGCCAGGCTCTTTTGTCCGTGGGATTTCCCAGGAAAGAATACTGGAGTTGGTTGCCATTTCCTTCTTCAGGACATCTTCCCTACCCAGGGATCGAACCCATGTCTCCTGCATTGTCAGGCGGATTCTTTACCACTGAGCCACCAGGAAAGCCCTTTGAGGCAGTTTACTTTCCTCTATTGGAAACTGTCATAATGTGCTGGCTTAGAACAAAATGCTTTACAGTGGTCTGCTAAAAAATGATCTGAGTAAATAATGTATATCCTTCATGTGTGCAATGTCAACAAAAAAAAAGTTTTTTAGAATAGTGAATTTTGTTTGGGTAAACATCACATGTCCCTATACATTTGAGGAATAGAATAAAATGTATAAAGAAGAAATCTGTTGTAAAAAAGGAAAAATCTCAAATCCCACTTCCCAGAAATAATACCCCTTTGGGAGTGCCATTCCAGACACCACTCAGTACATACATACAGGTGGAGGGGAGGGAGGGACAGCAAAAAAGAATAATCTTATCTTATTTATTAAGCAAGAATAAGCTTATCTTATTTGGAATTTTGAAATCAGAAATCACATTTAATTTTCCTTGGGTAGAAAAAGCCGAATATAGTTTGAAGGAATTGTAAAACTTCAGAAAAAGGTTTCTACATCAGGGTGCTTTTTCAAGGCACTGTTAAGAAGGGTGATAGGCCTGGGAACCAAGGTGGGACAGAAACTCGTCCACCGGATGGGGGCCTGCAGGCAGAGCAGGCTCCAACCAGGTCTCATGTGACAAGCCCTTTTCCAGATAAGTGACTCCTGCATTTGTTTGCAGCCAGGCTGTGTGTACCACGTTCAGCTCAAGGCAGAAGGCAACGACCACATCGAACGAGCCCTCCCCCACCACCGGGTCATTGTGGTAAGACATGGAATTCTTCAGCAGAATCACTGCATGATTGCATCTCTGATCAAAAATCCTTCAGCGTTCCTCTGGCTGGCTGCCTTTCATCTAGTGGGGGCGGGGGGGACTTTACATCCTAATTAAGGGTCCTCTCAGAATAGTGTCATCTTTACAAGCAGTGTCTTCAGTGGGCTTTTAATGAACAGCAGCGCTGTCTTGCATCCAGAGCAGAAATCTGAGCTGTTGTTTCCCCACTTCCCCTGCTAGCTCTGATCATTATTCTACAAGTTGAGGATCTTAAGGCCTAAGTAGCATTTTAGATCAAGGGAGGGTAATAAAGGGAACATGGGCTTCATCAGTGACAGGGCCACTGATGTTTCTTTTCTTCAGGTGACCTTGTTTTTCCCACCAAGGAGAGTCTTGATCTTTAAGCTCATGACTCAGCTAACTGATCCCTAAAGAGGCAGCCCTCCAGGTCACAGGAAGTGTCCCTGGCATCATTTGCAGTGAAGGTTTTTCCCATGGAATAAGTCTCATTTGCTAGACCAAAGGATTTGGGGCCAGACAAGAAGCCTTTGGTGGCTTTATTAGGTGGCATTAGGGATAAAAATTACGATGGGTCCAGAGGCTGGTGGGTCATTCAGGATTTTTGGCCTAGACAGTTAGTTTTCCTGATGTCTTTATGGCATTTGACATTTTAAGTGGTTGTGATGGCTGCATCTTATTTTATATTTTTCTGCCACTGGGGATTCAGATCACGATCCCAGGCAGTTATGTGGACTACGGCCCCACAGATGAAAAGGTGACCAACGGGGGCACATGCCCACCCCAGGGGGTATGGGGGAGCTGGGGCTTGACTCCTGCCAATTCCTGCCAGGCAAGAACATCCTCCTCTTTTTTCAAGAGGCGCTGGGAAATCTGGCTCTTTTAGTATGAAAATATTGATAAGTTATTAAAACTTAAGGAAAAAAGTACTGTGTTTGTCAAACAGCATGTCCATGGCCAGATGTCTCCTGTCTCCTCTCAGTTTGGGACCTTAGACTCAGGCTGCTCCAGCAGCAAGCTTTGCTCCCTGAATGCGAAGGGAAGTCGCTGGGAAATAGAGCTCCGGGGACGTCACCTGCCGGAGCAGAGGCCCTCCTCTTCCAGCCTCCTTGGCCCCAGCTTGCTTTCTCTCTTCCCAGGTCGGGAATAATGACATCGATGATGTGAACATCATAGTTTTCCGGCAGATAAATCAATTCGACTTAAGTGGAAATGTGATCACTTCCTCTGAGTATCTTCCTACATTATGGGTAAGGCCAGCTGTTGATGGTTAACATGGTCTATTCTTTCTGGCTTCGAGACAAGAGGGAGCAGGATATCCAGGCCTGGCTAGCACTTGCTTTAGCTGAGGATTGAGGTTGAGATTAAGAATCTTCAGTCCCAGCATGTATCTGGCGGGATGACTGCTGATTGCTGGAGAAAAACACGATCTGGTTTCAGATGACAGTTTTGCCAGCCTTGTGTATCTTTAAAAGCATCACAGTAGAAACCTCAGTGTGATCTGGGGTCTAAAGCAGAGAGATGGTTTTAGGGCAAAGCACCTGGTCACTTTCTAAATTCTCTGCAAGGTGTGGGTGGCAGGCAGTGAGCTCAGAGTCAGACGGTGGTGGGAACAGGCAGCGAACCTGGGCTGGAGAGAAAAAGAAAGCCCACCAACAAAACACTAAAGTGCTTCTGGAAACAGCCAGGAACCTGGTGCAAAATGGGAATGTGTTTGGAGTTTAAGGAACAGCTGTGGGGTGGGTGACAGTACATGGTGGAGGCACACCAAGTGAACAAGGCTGGTGGTGATGACATTAGGTGACCAGGCTCTCTGGGTCTCCATGGGGACAACAGTGATGCCCGTTTGGGAGTCAGGGTTGGTGACGATGTACGTGAAGTGCCTGCCCCATGCCTAGCATGTTACAGATATGTTAGAAGCTGTTCTCTTCAATGTTACCACTACACTAACAGGCTTTTACTATTTTGAGCATTAACATAAGTTGTCAGAATCTTAAATTTTAAAATTTTAACATTGTGACAACTGTCACATCACTGGTGCCTCAGATGCGTTAGGAACGGCCCGTCGGGGGAGGATGGTTACCCTTTGAAAGATCTGTGTTTCCAGAGTTCCTCTCCTCCAAGAGAGAAGCCATCACAAGGTGTCGAAAGTGTGGTGTTTATCACGCTGGAGTTTTAAAAGCACTCCCTGTTTTGTCTCTGCTCTCCAGGTGAAGCTTTACAAAAGCGACAACCTCGACAACCCGATCCAGACGGTGTCCCTGGGCCAGTCCCTCTTCTTCCACTTCCCGCCCCTGCTCAGGGATGGCCAGGTGAGCCCGCTCCACTCTGCGCCGTCTTTGCTGGGATGACTCCCCTTTTCTGCTGAAGGAACTCAGTTTCCCCATTTTCCCCTCATGCCACCTTGCTGACTCAGTTGAATCAGGGATTTTTTGTTTCCAGAATTAGCTCTTTTTCTGTTATAAAAATAATACACATTCATCATGGCAGGAGATCGGGGAAGGGGATGGAAATCAGACATAATCCCGTCATCCAGAAGCAACCACTGTTAACATGTCGATAGGTTTCCTTTTGACCTTTTTGACACGTGTGCATGTGTGTATAAATATAAAAACACACATGTATTTGTTTTAGTAATACAAAGCTGGGACTGTTTTGTACGTTTTCTTGTAACCTGTGCTTTTCAGTGAAGACTTTATCAGCCGTACTTTCTCATGCATGATATTTAATGACTCCAAAGAGACCGTGATAGAGAAAATACCATAATCTATTTAACCAAGGCTATCATCACTTACTGATGACGGGATGTTTGCCATCAGCTCTGAGTGCACAGAGCCAGCTCTTGTGGCTGCCGTGGTGGCAGCAAACTTTGCAGAGAACTTGGTTCCTCTTGGGGACTTAGCCTGAGAGCGCGAGTGCTGAGCCTGTGTGGTTCCTCCCCTGGCTTCCTGCCACCCGCCACAGGGACGATCCTCTGGCCTTTCTCGGTGTGAAGTGGCCATGAAATAGCACAGCAGGCTGTGACAGAGTCTGGGGCCTCCTCGCCACTGCTCCAGGCGCCCTTAGTAATCGAGCCACTTCCGACAGCACAGCAGTGTGGACCCAGGCTCCCCGGGGCTCGCAGCCTGCTCGGGACCTTACCAGCTGAGTGACCCTGGGCACGTCACGCTTCCCTTCTTCAGGCCTCTCTCCCCGTCTGTGAAACGGGGCAGTAGTCCCGATCTCGTCAGTGGTTGAGAGCATACGCCTAATGTGCTCACAGCTCTGGGCCCCTGGCTGGGGCTCAGCACGCAGGCCTGTGACCACACCTCTGCGGACACGCTGCGTTCTTAGAACTTACCAGCTAACGAGCCAATTAAGAATCGTCCCTTGGAAGTCAGCCTTGTTTCGGATGAGAAAAGTCGTGTGTCTCCCTCGTCAGAATTGATTCGTCAGAACTGTGTGTTTGTAGTCAGGTTCTCTAAGGACCACGTAGGTGCCCTGGTTGGATACACTTACAAAGACGAGCCGCGGGCTCCGAGCGCCTGTTCAGAGACGGCAGTGTTGCGCGGCTGACCCTACTGGACTGGCCCGCCGAGGCCGCCACGTGCACATTAGTGACCTAGGCGTGGAGGTGTAAACTTGGGGGTTTCTAAAGGAAACACGGAGTCTTTTCCATCACAGTCATGCATTAGGAGTTAGTTTTCGTTTACTTTGCCCCAACTGCCCTTCGTAAACACAGCTCCTCCCTCCTTGCGCACAGAATTACGTGGTACTTCTGGACTCCACGCTGCCCAGGTCCCAGTACGACTTCGTCCTGCCGCAGGTGTCCTTCACGGCAGCGGGCTACCACAAACACATCACCCTGGTCTTCAGCCCTACGGTAAGGAGAAGGGAAGGGGGCTTCCGGGCGTGGAGGGTGAAGTGGCTCCAAGGTGCCACTGAGTGCTTTTCAGACCCCCGTCCTGTGTGGGAAGTTGGTGGCAGTCCTCGTCCCTGCGGCAGAGAGAAGGCGGGAGGCTTGTGCCTAGGGGAGCCTGGACTTGGACGTGGCCCTTCTGCTGGTTTCTGGCTCGAGCTCGGTGACTTGGCCTCCACGATCTTACCCTGAGTGAAGGGCTCCTCCTGTGACCCCAGGAGGAAGCACTTGTCTCATTCACCTCAGCAGAGACTGAGGAAGTGACAGACAGGCACATCGGGAACTGTTTGTCTCTGTGTGGAGGCGCACGCATCCCCAGGGGGAGCAATGCCTCTGCGGAGGGCACTAGGGCTGCAGCCTGGACATCCGGCAGGGCACCTCCTGGCTCCGGGGAGCACGTGGGCAGCCCAGGATGGAGGTGCCGCCTGCTGGGGTACCTGCTGCCAGGGGTGAGGTCCCACTTCTGAGGCCGTGGGAGCAGAGCCACGTGCCGGGGAGGGACGGCCTGGTGGGTCCTCATCCCAATCATTTGTGGGGAGGTGCCACTCTTCCATCCTTCCGGTGGGTCAGGAAGACTGAGCGGCTTACCTGGGGGTGCTCAGCAGAGCCAGGCTCGTCACGTCCCAGCCGCCTGCCGGGTGGCTCGGCACCATACCTTACAAGGGTCCTCAGGGCGCTTCACTGCATCCCGTGCTGAATGCCAGTACCGACAGCCACATTCCTCACGTGTCACCCGGTATTTCACGCACTGCTAACCACTCCACACGCCTCCTCGTTCCCCACAGTAGGTGCTGTTCGTATTATCGCCGTTTTATAGTTGAGTCAACCGAGTCTTAACGTGACTGCTGAAGGTCACACGGGAGGACCTGGAGCCTGGGCTGCGGTCCTCAAAGCTTCGCCTCATAGCTGCTCTGCCTCCCCGACTCCAGCTTGCTCTTAAGGGTTTACTTTGATGGAAAATGCTTTGGGATTGAAGACAAGTCAAAAAATGTGGGGGCAGGCAGTTGGGGATCCTGCCGCTATTCTTCTGTGTATTAAGGGAGTGTCTCGCTCCGGCTGTCGTCTCGGGTCAGAGGCCCTGTGGTCCTTCTCCTTCCTGCGTGTCCTCAGATGCTTTGATCTTGGGACCTCTTTACACTGTTAAATTAGTTGTGAATCTCAAAGATCTTTGGTTTGTGTGGGTTTTATGTATATCTATCATATTAGAAATGAAAACTGAGACATGCTGAAAACACAAGCACCCACAGGCCACACGTCCCGTTACCTGTCAGAGTGAGGACATCGTCACGTTGCAGCCTCTGGGAAGGTCCCTGTCCCACTGTAGGAACGTGAGAGAGAAACTGGCAGGTCGTCCTTTCACAGTGTGATGAGAAGTGTAGACTGTGCGAATCTCCTTAAAGAGGCCCGCGGGCTGTGCCTTGAGAACAGCGCTGCGGCCTGTTAACCTGTTTCATCATCAGCCGAAAGTTACTCATTTGTTTCCATTGTCGTGGTGGAGTGAGCTAGTTGGGGTATAGGTTCGTTTGCCATTATAGAGACCCAGCACTTCGGGGCTTCAGCAGGAGGGCAGGGTATATCTTACGTTGACCTTGCGGGGGTCGTGTGAAAGCTCCTAGGTGTCGGGCTCCTCCTCTCCGTGGTTCTGCCGTCCTCCAGCACGTCGCCCTTCCCGAAGTGGCACAGTTGGCTGGGGCTGTGCAGTCAGCAACGAGGAAGGGTCCACCCAGGGTCCAGCCTGGCCTCCCCTGGAAGGAGGGGTGAACGGCCCCGGGTCCCCAGCACTGCCTCGCCGCCTCCATGCATGTGACCTCTGCACTTGCTTGGTGCCCACTGTGTCCCCGAGTCTGGAGCTGTGGGTTCTCGATGCCTCCTTACAGGAGAGTCCCTGTGTGCGGCCGGGGCTCAGCAAAATGAGACCCTCACACGTTTCAACCGCAGGGGTCCCCTGCCACCCACGGCTCTCTGCCTCCTCAGTGTGGACAGTGAAGGGTCTGGGGGTGAGGAGCACCTTGTTCCTGGAAGCTTCAGAGAGCAAGCGAGGGGAGTTCGTGCGGCAGAGGACTCACCTGAGATTTAGTTGTGTCGCTTCAGCTCCTCCCTTTGGGTACTGAGCGTCTGGGCCTTGTGGGTGCCCGGGGTCTGGAGGAGGCCAGGCAGGCCTGGGCTGTGGATGGGGCGCTGGTCCGGGGTGACGGTGCTCTGGGTATTCACAGAGGAAGTTGCCCGAGCAGGACATCGCCCAGGGATCGTACATCGCCCTGCCCCTGACGCTGCTCGTCCTGCTGGCCGGCTACAACCACGACAAGGTAGGGGCCCCGATGCTCCAGGCAGCGCACAGAGGTGACCGCACTTCACGATAATGATTTCGTAGCTAGGGCCAGTCCGACTCTTGAAACCCTGTGGACTGTAGCCCACCAGGTTCCTCTGTCCATGGGGTTTTCCAGGCAAGAATACTGGAATGGGTTGCTATTTCCTTCTCCAGGGGATCTTCCTGACCCAGGGACAGAACTCCAGTCTCTCTAGGTCAAGACCAATTCCAAGGCCTCCTTTCAAGGCTAGAAGCCTCTTGTATCCCTCCTAACCCTTAACCATGAAGTGTCTGGTAACCTCTCTAGTACAAAGACCTGTGCTCGATTGGCCTGAGAGCACAGAGCGGGTGGTGGTGGGCCTGGGGGCAGGGGTGCTGGGGCAGGTCGGGGGCGGGGACTTCGATGTCCCGCTGGACAGATGTCCTCCGGAGCCCCCCTCTCTCATACCCTCTTTCTTCCCAGCTCATCCCCTTGCTGCTGCAGCTGACAAGCCGCCTGCAGGGAGTCCGAGCCCTTGGCCAGACAGCCTCTGACAACAGCGGCCCGGAAGACGCGAAGAGACAAGCCAAGAAACAGAAGACAAGGCGGACGTGAGGGGTGTCCCTCGGGACAGGCCCTGGAGTGGAGGACGCATGTGACTCTTGTCATCAGCTCCGCGGGTGCAGCCACCCGTCAGCTTCCTCTCCCCGGCCCCGACGTGACACCATGAAGGGACCCTCCTGTCACTCTGCAGAGCACAATTGATTTTCTGAGTCGAAGATAATTTATTATTTTTACTTTTGTCACAGAAGTGTTTAAGCTGTGCTGGTGGTGTGTGAATGTTATCCTGAGTCTTCCAGCTTCATTTGCAAAAAGAATTCCAGTCAGTGGGGGTCTTGACTCCCAAATCAAGCTCCTGTTGGACTGATCTTCCCCTTAACGCCCCTATGTGTCTGAGGTCCCTGCTGGAAACCGCACAGCCTGTGTGTACTCCTAGGACGGTGTGTTATGCGGTAAAAAATCAATAAAACGGCCCACTTGTTTGTGTTGTAGCTCATCTTGGGTGCAGTCCTTGGAGGACCCTGGCCTAATGCTGGGGTCACAATCGAGCCGCCTGGAGGGACATGTGGGTCCCGAGTGAAGGCAAGATGACACGTGGCCGCTGGCTTTTGGCCTCAGTGATAGGAAAACAGGAGAGGTGGTGGGGGGTGATGGTGTGAAGACCCCTGCCTTGTCTGAAGGAGCCCGAGAGGCCCCCCGCTATGCTGCGGGATCACACGTTCACTTCTCTAGAGAAGCCGGAAAAGCTGAGTTTTATGTGAACTCTTCCAAGTTTTAAATGTTAGCGACAAATTCAGTTTGTAACTTCTGGCGAAACAAAATGCATACGTAGGCTGTGTGAAGCTTGAAGGCTGCCAGTTTGCATAAGGGATCTACAGGAATTCTCAGCATTTGAACAGCATTAATTTCTTTCTTACGGGAAGTAATTAAGTTACATTGGAAGCAGGGACGTCCAGCCATCCAACGCTTATTGAGCCCCACGTGTGACAGGCACCGGGGCTATGAGACGAGCAGAACAGACAACAGTGTAATCTTCAGGAGCTGGATGAGGACGAACCCCGCCCCGTTTTGTTCCTTGTGTCCCTAGCGTTCCACATGGAGTGGGCACTTTAGAAGGAACGAAGGAATGAATGCATGCGTGGACATGGACATGTGGCACCTGCTCTCAGAGCTCACGACCCATCCATCGTTGGGTGGAAGACAAGCTGGTCAGTGGACAGGGCAGGGCAGAGAGCCAGAGGCTTCCTGGTGGAGGAGGCTCAAGTGGCCGAAGGGGCACAGGGCAGAGATCAGGTCCCACCTGAGTAGGGAAGCTTCCCCGACATAATGTTTAGGCCAGGTCTGGAAGGACCCGGAATGGAAAGAGGAGTAAAGCAGGTCTTGTTGGGTGCCACGACCAGTGGGGACAGTCAGCTTGAGGATTCCCAGGCTCCAGGGGGGCCTCCCCAAGAGCTGCTGCATTTCCAGTCCAGCGGCTGTTGGGCTCTTGGCCATTTCACAGGTATTACTTTTTCACCATGGAAGGAAGTAGGCTTTTGGAGTTATGGGAGAGATGAGATGCATAATCCATTTCTTGGAGTGTTTTCTAACTCTTCTTCCAAGTGGACACCCAGAAACATGCCTTTTAAATGTTAATGGGGCTTTTTATTGACGCAGTGTAAAGGTTAAGAGCTCGCGGAAGACACAACTAAATGTCAATATGTTCCATCCAGTTCCGGAGGCCGCCACTAGGGGGCAGTCTTCCCCCGTCGCTGCTGCCGGTCACCTTTCTTGCCGGTGGATCTTCTGCAAGGGCTCTGTTCCTGGAAAAAGGCTGCTGCCTTTCTCAGCCCGTATGGAAGTTCGGCCTGTGATTGTCTTCATTTTCTGGCAGTCTCAGAACAGCTCCCCTGTCCCCCTCTGAGGTGTGAGGATGAATGGATAGAGGATTTTAAGTGCAGCAAAAGTTATACGAGACAGATTTTTTTCCCCCTGAGAGATTAAAGATGTCTGAAATGACGGGTCCTTGAAGAACTCCTTTGCTTGCACCTTTTTGCTTATTAAAGTAGCCCAGCCTCAGTGAGGATACCCACAAAGACTGACAGAGAAGTGCCCTTCTAAGGTGCTGGCTTCACCTTAGTCTTCCCTGGGCTTCCCTTGTTTGGAATGTTGTCATCCAACCCACACGGATGGCTGGATGTGGGTGGGGGGTGCTGGAGGTGGGTGTGAGGAGTGTGTAGGGGTAGAAGGAGGAGGTGGTCCTTGTGCTCAGCTCCCAAGGGTCTGTGTTCACCTCTCGAGAGACGATTCATGAAATTAGGGAAAAGTGAATGATTACCTCCCTGAATGACGAGCAGTGGAAAGGAGTGGTGACCATGTGCTGGGCACCGCACTGAGTCCTTTCATGCATGAAGTGCTGGGTCTTCAGGACCTCACGACCTGAATGTGTTTTCAACTCTACCTTAAGGAGGAAACTGAGACTTAACAATGTCACAGCCACTAAGCAGTGGCGCTGGGATTGGAACCCAGGTGCAGGAGTTCTTAGCCACTGTACTCTGCTGTCTCCTGCTGTACGAAACGAGAGGGTGCATTTATGCGCCAGGTTGGGGATAATTCAGGTGCTTAGAAAGAGAGTGTCACATGCCAGAGATGTGGGCACAAGCTGCGATACTTTTAGTCAAAGCACAGTGACATGTAGTCATGTGTGCAACGGAGGGTCAGGCCTTTAATTGTTGCTTCAGCATTGTTTCTAGAACCAGAGTTACATGGCTAAATGCTTAAATCCAATTCCCCAACACAAATCCAAATCCATTGGGCAGCGTTCCCCCTTTCCTCAAAAGCTGGAGCAACCTGATGAGGAGAGTTGGGAAGAATTCTGGGAACAAAGTTTGTGTGGTTCCATTCCATTCTGTCTAGGCTGAGTGCTCACTGGGAATGAGGACTATGTATCAGCCATCCACAATTCCAGTCCCCTGCACACAGTGGGGGCCTGAGGAAGGGAGCCTGCCTCAGATTGACTCCCCCCAACAATACCCACAGCCTTTTCATATGGGGTCCCCTTGCATACTGAGTCAGGGCTGGATTCAGATGTGAGTGGTGATGTGTGCCTTCTCAGATGGGGTTATAAAGGGCATAAACAGATGAATGGATAAAGAAGATGTGGTGTATATATACATACAACTCAGCCATAAAGAAAAGTGAAATAATGCCATTTGCAGCAACATGGATGCAACTAGAGATTATCATGCTAAGTGAAGTAAGTCAGACAGACAAATACTATATGATATCACTTATATGTGGAATCTAAAATATGACACAGATTATGAAACAGAGATGGAATCACAGACAGAACAGATGGATGGTTGCCAAGGGGAAGAGTGGGAGGGAGAGGGATGGACTGGGAGTCTGGGGTTGGTAGATGCAGACTATTTAGAATGGATAAACAACGAGGTCCTAAGCACAGGGAACTATGCTCAGTATCCTGTGATAAGCCATAGTGAAAGAATGTGTATAGTACATTGTATGTGTGTAACTGACTTACTTTACAGCAGAGATTGGCACAACATTGTAAATCAACTGTACTTCAATAAGGGCTTCCCAGGTGGCTCAGAGGTAAAGAATCTGCCTGCCACAGGAGATGCAAGAGACGCAGGTTCGATCCCTGGGTTGGGAAGATACCTTGGAGCAGGAGATGGCAACCCACTCCAGTATTCTTGCCTGGAGAATTCCATGGACAGAGGAGCCTGGTGGGCTACAGTCCACGGGGCCACGAAGAGTCAGACATGACTGAGCAACTGAGCATACACACAGCATACTTTAATAAAAAAAAATAATAAAGGGCTTTGCACTCGCCATTTTGTTCCTGGGGGAAACCAGCTGCCTTGTGTGGGGATACATAGGCAGCCCCCTGGAGAGCTGAGGTCCCTGGACAGCAGCCAATCCAACTTGTCAACCAGGCACTTCAGGGACCCTAGACCTGGATCCTTCAACTCTGGTCAAGCCTTTGGATGACTGCAGCCCCAGCCAACATCAGACTGCCACTGCTTCAGAGACCCCTTCAGAAACCCTGCCCGGCTGAGCTCTTCTCAAATTCCTGACCCAGAATCTCTGAACGTGATGTATGATTGTATTAGGCCTCGAAGTTATGGGGTAATTTGTTATGCAACACTAGGTAACTGGAACAGGACTCAATAAAGGTCTATCATCAATGGACAATGACTGAGAGACCTCCAGTAAATCAATGTATTTCTATCTGTATTAGTCGAGGCTGTTTTCATTTCAAGTAATAGGAGCCCAACTCCAACTAGCTTAAGCAAAATGGGGCATTTCACTGCCAGTGTAGTGGAGAAACCCAGGATTGTCTGGCTCCGTTCGTGGCTGCATCCAGGGTATGTCTAAGCCTCCCAGTTCTGTTTCCCTTCATGAGTTGACCGTGCTCTTCCCTCCATCAAGGCTCTACGCCAGCTCTCAGTGCTTAGCTCTGAAAGAGTCCTTTGCTGGAAACATAGACTTTGAAACCAGGTCCACGGCTGCTTGCTCAGTCATGCTCTGCCTGAGGCAGGGCAGCCGTGGGGAGACTTCCACTGTGAGTGAAGTTTGGGAAAACTGGCTTTTGACTTCTGCCTGTCCTGCTTCTGTAGAAGGTGGTCACCCTGCAGCTTTGGGCCTAAATCATCCCAATTTGCAGGCCCAATAGAAAGAGAATTCCCATCCCACAGACCCTGTGTCCCTCTGGGGAAGCTGAAGGACTGATGGACAAACCACAGGATCGCAGGGACCTGGCCAGGCCCCAACCCACAGCTCCATCCATGCCATGTGAAGCTCCCGCAGTGGGGATGTGCATTTCCCAGAGAAACAAGGGATCCTGGGTGGCAAAACCAGTAGAAGTCAGCTCTACTGCCTTCACAACTTGATGACCAAATCGAAGTCACCCATCATCTCTGGCTTTATCTTTTCAGTAGCAAATAACCATGGCTTTGTTACACCATGCCCAGGGGAGGGAAGAAGCTCATCTTCCTGTGGGCCTACTGTGTGCCAGGGCCCAGGGGAAAGGTATGCAGAGACTCCCTCCCTCCCCCTTCTTAGGGGGAGCAGTCATGCTTCATGATACAGTGGTGGCATTGCAGGGGGATCTTGACCACTGTCTCTAAGTCCTGCTGTCCCCACACACCTGGGCTCATCTACGATGCCGCGCACTTCCATACCCTTTCAGATGAGTGACTGTTTCACTGTTCCACTGTGTGGATGAAACAGCAGCTCATCTTGCATTTGCTTTTTGGAATTTGAAGATTCTGTAAAATAGATGAATGCGTTGGAACAAGTGGTCCCCACGTCTGTGCAGAATCTGTGCCTCCGGGGACTGATGGCTGCCCCTCCCTGTCTAGTCTGCAGGGGAGACTGCTGGCAAGAGAAGGGAAGCTGACAGCTGCTGCATTTTTATCCTGTTTCTGCTCTTGGAGCTGAGAGGAAGAGGTGGCTGACCGCCGCTGACTGATCCAACTCCAGATGGGCC